AAGGTTGCATGGAGGTGTTGGAACCCCACAGTGGTACGATTCTCTTTGCAGAAACGGGAAGACCTGTCCACGACCTCTCGTTACGGCGTGCTGAAAGAGATGTATGATCGCTGGACAGAGAGACATACACCCTCAGGCACGGACCCCATGCCACTGGACCAGGTGCTGTCTACCCTCAGCGCTGGAGCAAGAACATCCACAGCTCAGGATCAACTCTACGCGTTCTTCGGCTTGAATCAAAATGAGCAAATATTCCTGAAACCGTCTTATCAGGCTCCATTACAGGACGCTTTAGTTGCCACCGCACGCTCCATCATCAAAGGCACCAAGAGCCTGGACATTTTCGAGACCATACCAAGGAAGACAACTTCGAAAGCTCCGCGCTCTTGGGTTCCAGATTTTACCTCACCACGTCTGGTGGTACCTTTTCTACCGTCACCTGCGTGCATATGGAGCTCGAATACATGCCCCGAGATATACTCATGGAACGGAAGGTGTGACTGGTATACTCTTTGGGCCCACGGCAGGGCCGTCGCTGCTGTTGATCTATGCGTCGACCACCAAGTCACAACCTCAAAAGAAGACACGAATCGCGTCTATACTCCCTTACTGCTAAAGGTAATACAAGCCTGGACGACTTCTCGTCATTACGATCCAGACGTTCCTTTGCCAGTGCTGGAGTCCATATTACCAGCACTTCTCGCTGAAGGCCACTGCGAGCCTTCGACTTACGATGCAGAGGACACAGCACGGTTCGCCAACCGTGTGAGAAATCAATATCGTGACTTTTCGATGCGCCAGCTCCCAGGGCCTGCACGAATGAACGCCGAGGATACTCGGATACATTATCGCGACGCAACGAATCGCAGCCTGGCGGAATACATTGACACCGTCATGAACGGTCGGCAGTTGTGGATCACACAAGGCGGACGTCTCGCGACAGGAAGTCGGCTTCAAAAGGGCGACGAAATCTGCATTCTTCATGGCTGTTCACATCCAGTGGCACTTCGGCGCGTACCCAAGAAAGACGCATACACGGTTGTCAGCACTTGCTATCTGGAAGACTGGATGGATCCGTGGGGTAGAGGGAAGGTGGACTGGAGAGAAGACGAAGCCCACGAATTTGCATTGATCTGATGCACGCCGCTTGGGTGTTCAAACGAACGCTCTTTTTGGCGACCCCTACATACTCTTGCTGTTACCTACTCAAGTTACACTATCTTGCGGTATGTGGCCCTACTTCGAATCACTACTGGAGGAGAGTGGTAAATCACGTGAAGCTGGGTGAATGTGCCAACTTTAGAAGATAATTGGTGGTAGTAACGCGTGGAAGGAAAGCGTGTGTTTGTAGGAAGGAGCGATTGGCGGTGGCTGACCTTATAGCCGCGCCAATGTGGATGACTTACTCATATGCACAGAAGTTATTTCAGCACGATTTCTAGACGCGTGTCTTGAATTCGATGAATTGGCTTGGTGATGCCTTCCGTGTAACATGGTGCTGCGTGGTGAGTCGGGCCTTCTCCATCGACTAGCTTCTAGCGCGTCATGGCGCACGTGCAGACGCGTCACGGAATTACCAACCACCTCATTCATCCAATCGCATACTACCAAATGACAGCACCACGCCATTTGCATCCAATTTACCTCAGTCGCGGCCTATTCTTGCTCGCCTCCAATTCCACCCCCACTTCCTGAGCACTGCGGCTGCACACATGCCGAGTACGCCATCGACGAGCCCAATCGAGGTGAATATCCAGCCATCTCCTACGGCATCTCTGAGTGGCTGGAGTATCGCGATTGCGACGGCCGACAGTGTACACCGGACGATGTTGTTCGAGGCCGCGGCAGTACCAGCTTTGTCCGGAAAGATGTCAACCATCAGAGCGCTGTACAGCTGCAGTACGACGGTACATCTAGCACCTATGAAGAATTGCAAGATGAGTGGTATGCTGGTATGAACACCACGCTCAACTGCCCAGCCATATCCAATGAGAGTGCCGATGGAAAGCATATGCAACGTATACGAGCCACGGGAACGAGCGACCTCAATGGGGAAATTTCGAATATCGTCCCCAGCGACACGGTCTACGGGAAGACCATACGATTCGGCCGTCTTCTTGTAGTTGAAGTCCATGAGACGGCCTGCAATGAAGCCGCCCGCGATGACTCCTGCGCCTCCGGTTAAGAAGCATAAACTGACAGCCAAAGGGTTGTAGCCGTATCCCTGACCGTAGACCAGTGGTATGGAGGCTTGGATGCAGTACCACACAGCGTATGGGGAGCCTGCTGACCAGAGTATGAGGAACGTGTCAGCGTAAAAAATGAGACGCACAGAGGAGAAAGGATTTGGAAAGCCCCATACGCCTTTACCACGCTTTTCTGAGTCTACGTTCCTGGAGATCTCAGGGTCGATTTGTCTTTCCCGTCTTCCGCTGGACCTGATGACAGACCACCATGTTTTCCACAAGGCGCGAGGAGAAACCTCTCCGTTGCCGACGATGTTTCTTCCGGTTTCGGGCATAGTCCATCCGATCAGCATCAAAGAAGATGCGCTAAAGATGACGAGCGTCCAGAAAGCCCACTGCGTCTGTCCCGTAGCTAATACGATACCGCCACCGATGACAGGCCCGAAACATGGCCCGAAGTTCGTAGCTGCGAGCATTGGTCCAAGGATTTTGCCACGCTCAGCAGGTAAAGAGATATCGGCCACGACCGCGTAAGCTAGCGACATCACAGCCGAACCTCCAATGCTCTGCAAGGACCGAAGGACTAGTAGTGCGGCGTAGCTGTTCTCATTGAAAGCCAGGCCCAGGCTTGCTGCGAGATATATCACAAAAGTCACCAAGAAGACTGGGCGGCGACCAAGTGTATCCGACAATGGGCCGAAGAAAGCTGGCGAAATTGCCTGGAAGACGAGATAGACCGTGATGGTCAAATCGATTGCAAGTATAGACGTATTGTACTGCTTGCTTAGGCTCTCAATCAGCGGCAGGTAGATCGTAGCCGTCAAAGATGAAGCGAGCGTCAAGTAGCCGAGGAGGTAGGTGAAGTAAGTGCGCTGACGGCTAGTGAAGACGGTGAACGGTGGCGGTGATACTGCATCCGTTTCGCACATCTCGACGCGTGTTTTCGCTGTCGTTATTGCTAAGAATCAAGGTCGGGAAGTGGTGGTGTGTTCGGTTAGAGTGCCATATCGCTAGGCTCATGCACTCAAGTGGCACTGTGATAAGCAAGGGTCAAGTTCGCTGTTGGATGTTACACCAACGATGACTCCCGTATTGGCACTCGCCACATCTTGTACACTTGAACTATCGGTTTCCGCATCGTTTTGCTGCTGGATATCACCGGTTTTGCATGCGCATTGTTGCTCGGGTGATGGCTGATACAGAGGTCGTGCGCATCAAGACCGTCGTGCCCCGCACGGTGATCTCATACGTTGATCCCCGCGTCGCAGCATGTGAGTTGACTTGGCGTTTGAACTCTTTGGCGTTGCTAACACGAGTATCAGTGCTTCCTACTGGGTCTAAGATCGAAAGAATCTCACCTCATGGCTTCTCCAATTGGAACCAAACTGCTCGAATCCACACGCTGAAAACAATCGGCGAAGCAGTGTCATACTTTCTGAAGGTCGGTGACTTATTGCATGGTAATTCTTGTTAAGCCTAACCGCCATCCAGGTCTCCTGTGGCGATGTTGGTAAGGGTATGATGCTTGGGGAGTTTACTTCAATGTCAGCCCTTTACGAAAACATGCCAGATCTCGTCCCGCAGCCGATTGGTTGGGGTAGCTACGCAAAAGATGCTAAGACTTACTTCTTCATATGCGCATTCCGCGAGATGACTGGAGAAGTACCTGGCGAGGCATCCACCGCAGTCGACCACAGTGAAGAATCTCACAATAGATCAAGTAAAGAGCTTCAACGCATTAGCGACTTCACTGGCCAGATAGCCCGCCTACACAAAACCGCGCTTTCCCCAACAGGAAGATTCGGCTTTCCCGTCATGACATACGGGGGAAGACTTCCTCAAGACACCACCTTTTGCGATAATTGGGAAGAGAGCTTTACACGTGGCATACAGCGGATGTTCCATCTCGAAGAATTACAGCATGGCCATGACAAAGACATGATGCAGCTGCGCGCATTGATCGTGGAAAAAGCGATACCGCGATTGTTGCGGCCTCTAGAGACCGAAGGAAGGAGTATTCTAGCATGCTTGGTGCATGGCGATTTGTGGGATGGCAATACTGGAGTTGACGAAGAGACGCGAGAGCCAGTGATTTTCGATGCGTGCTCGTCATACGCGCATCACGAGTGTAAGCAGCACGATTCTACGGTTTGATAGCCACTGACCGTAGCCACGGGAATTTAGATGAGCTAGCTCCATGGCGACTCAAGCGCCACAAGATCAGCGGAGCATACATAGCCGAATATCTCAAGCACTACCCAGCTTCGGAGCCCAAGGAGGACTTTGAAGACAGGAACGCTTTGTATTGCATGTAAGCCTTGTTGAAGTAGCATACTTTGTTCAGTCGAGCTCAGCTGACGTCTTTATAGAAGGTTCAATCTCTGCTCGTCGGCACTATACCCAGGAGAGCTCAAGTACCGTGAATTGTAAGACTCCCTCATACAGTTTAGAGAGACTTTACTAAGCTACCGCAGCGTCAAGAATGAGATGAAGGCGCTCTTGGTGAGTCTGTTCGGCGATCTCGAACATGCGGAGGTGTGACAGGATACTACAGTCACGGGATGGAGTGATCGACCGAGCAAGTTGTGATGATGTTTTGTTCTACTGAGATACCGAAATATTACATCGTCAAATCTTGGAAATAAAAGAGACGCGAAGTGAGCGCGTAGCCTCGTGGGGCGTTCAGTTAAGACATCGGCCGCCAGCGACCGGAGAAACAGGTAACGTGGATACGGGAGCTAATAAAAAATCGATGACAGAAGCGACAGAAGAGTGCTCGGTGCGCAAGAATATCCCTCAAGATCAAACAGCCACTTAATAGTTAACCTCTGACTCGCAATCGCCGCCATTACCGATCTCAAGACCATCACCAGCGGAAGAGTACAAAGCATCGGTAACGGTTTGCTTGTATGGCAAGCGAAGACCCAGATCCAAGAACAAACTCGCATACCACTCGTGCCCATCCAAAGCTTCGTACTTGAAATCCCATTGACTCATATCGATACCTTTGCTGTCGCCAAGGGAGTTTTCGTATCTCAGTTCGCTGTATACGGCTTGTTGGGCTGCGAAGGCACTGCGCAGCTTTTCGCCATAGTCGTTCCTGAGCCATCCCGCCCCCCAGATAGATGCGGTGCACTTCTCTTTGTTTTGGCAATTCTCAATCTTACACCATGCTTTCGGTGTGGAAGGCCGCTGGCCCGTGGGTGAGATGGTAAATCTCCAGCCGTTGATCTCGAACTCTCCACCAGCTTGCCAGCCCACTGGGTTTTTCGATTTGTCGTTATTGCACTCGTCTAATATCTTGTGAAGATTTGTCTTGCACTCCTCCACGGTAGGTACAGGTCCCGCGTTGAGTCTGCTGGTGACGCCGATTTCGACTGCCTCGGGGGTACTTGGGAAATAATGCCCTGTACCGATAGAGCCAGTAGCGCCTTCCAGCTTGGGACAATAGGTGTTGTCGATAAGGTCGAGGAGCGCGTCTTTCGCAACGTACTTGTTCTCCAGGTCATTGCAGAAGAGCTCGGATGTAAATGCGGGATTGTTGAACGCCAAGTACGCAGCGAAGAACGCTTCTCGGTATGCCTCGTGACCTTGTATCGTTGGATGAAATGTTCGCAAGAGCCAAACTGGGTAGTCCAAGACATCCGGTTCGTATTCTTCGTTGGTTGCGACGTTGTTAGGCTGCTCATGCAAATCGATAGTTGTTCCTTGGGGTATAGAGTTTGCGATCAGGCATGTGTAGTACTGTCCAGCATCCCCGCTTGCATCCAAGATAGCTTGGCAATCTCCAGAAGGTGTACTATCGCTAACATTGAAGGTGGCTCCGTCGGGTGCACTAAATTCCAGCGGAAAGAACCATATATTCTTGTTCCGGTAACTTGGTTCAAGAACGCCTTCCTCGCAGAAGCGATGGCCTTCGAAATACGGGTCTGTATCTACGAAAGTGATTGAGCCGGACTGTGGGGGGTTGTCGTTTACGAAAGCCTTGATCTTGTTGTTGAGTCTGATTGTAAGCTCGTTCATCTTTCTACGGCGGTCTTTGGTTATTGGGAGTACCCCGTTATTGGTGCAGAATAACTTGAAGCTCGTGGTGTCGCATTGATCAGTGAGCTCATTGAAGAACCGAGGATATCCTGTTATGAACAGATTGGTGTTTGGGGCGTTCTGGAAAATGGCATTTATCGTCAGCTTGTATCTGTCTGCGAAGGCACCCCGGTCGATGTTGGAACCAAGTTGACTCATTGCTTCGTCGCAGTCAATCGAACAGTCAAGATCACCACCACGACACCCCTCACAACCTCTTGTGTGAAATCCATAGATGCACTGTCTGTGTCAGCGAGTGATCTATAGGATAAAGTAATGCCAATTTTCACTCACACGATCAAGCAAGTCGCTAAAACCAACGTCGTTGCCACCAATCGACATGGTGACAAGATTCGGTTGTGATGCTGCTAGCACTTGTGCTTGCGGATGGGGTTTCGGTGGGAATGACTCAGATCCATCTCTTTTGAGGAGCTGCCCTTCTTCGTAGATGTTTCTCGTCACAGCGCCGGAACAGGCCTCGAATTGGAATATGTCGATATGATCTCTTTCGCCTCTCAGTCGTACGTCCTCGGCTACTCGTATTCCCCAGGATTGATGAGATCGATGACAGATGTTATCGAAATACTTCTTACCAGCTCCTGGTCCCGCTGCGAAGGAATCTCCGAGATGTGCATACCGGTCCACTCGGAAAGTATCCCGTGGGATAACCCTAGACAATGACAGGGCTGCAGAAAGACCTCTGCCCACCATTGCTGTGACAATCAATAGCTGAAGGAACATGTTGCGATGTCGATTGATGTTATGGCAATGCTTGTAGTAGAATGATAGAGAATGAGAGTGCGTGCAATGGAAAGACTCGACAGTCCGACTTCTTAAGTACACCATCGTATCTCAGAAGGACACATTCGCAAGACATACATCTTCTCAGCAGATCTGTAGGAGTATGGCGTAGTTCGAGTAAGAGGCCGACCTCTTGCTTGAGTGATGCATCATCTGAGACAAAGACTGACATCGCCACGCCGCGCAATGAGGTATGTCGGGTAGTACTGTCCGGATGCGTTAATTGAAACGACCTGATATGCGGACATCAGGCGTGCAGAAGTTTTCAAACAGATTATCTTCTGCTTGCGTCTTATATGATTGCGTCAGTGGAGTTTTGTCGAGTGGACTTCCCTCCCAACCTATCAATCGTAACGTGAATTGGTTTACTTTGCTCAAGAGTACTGTCGTACATGCTTCCTCAAGGCTAATTCTGCTTCGTTCATAAAAGCCATCATGTAGCGATGATACTGCATTAGTCATAATTTGGACACAGCGTCATCGACCAGGTAGCAATTTTTGACCCCCAGGCTGGTATGTATGAGAGTGGCGTATGGGGGGCCAGTACATCCTCATCGCTTCGTCGTCTGGACTTAGTTCACTGTGCTAGGGTGCAAAAGCAAGCACCGGGTTCTGTGTGCGAATCGCCTCAATCTGGGGCAGGTCAGACTCGAGCTACTGGAAGGTTTTCGCGTCGGCACATTCGTCATCATGGGTGTGGTTCACACTCATGAAGCCTCTCCGTCTTACAACATATCTACAGTGCCGCATAGCGACTAGCATGCTGGGGGTAATTCTTGTGGTCGTTCACGATACTGCGCGGACAAAAAGATTCGTGATTACGCGTAGATACGGGTGCCCGTTGAACCAATGGGTACATTCATCGTTATGTTACATACCGCGTCTGTCATTTATTTCTCGGGGTCTCTCTGAAGTGACTGCCCAGGTGTGTCGTGAAGGATGGGCCCCTAAGAGTGAGAGTATCCGGTGCTGGGACTGGGTTCACGCCACGGAATAACTGACGTACGTGGCCGTAGAACAGTACCAACCTTGAAAGGGTCTTCGTCAGTACAGGATTCTCTAAAAACGCTGGGGGCTATCGAAAACAAGGTGTCAACTGCTAATCATGATGCAGGTACCTGGGTAGGTTTCGCATTGGGGCGGGAAGCTCTAGGCAGCCGCCACGCCACAACCGCGCTCTGAATGTGTCTCAGTGCACCCACACAACTGTGGTGTGTTCCGCGCCGCAAAACGAAAAGCGATCGAGAAATCAAGACGAGATCGGTGCGCAGCTCACACTCTGCATCGCCAAGCTGCCAGCCGTCCATAGGTCCCTGATGATCGAGCGTGCAGCGCAACATAAGCCCGTCCCCGCTATTCATATATCGCGCTCATCCGGCAGCACAGCGCCACATAGGCGCATCTGCGTTGCAAGAAGGTCTTCCTTAATACCCGGTCATTGCTGTCACCCTTGGAGTGCAACAAAAACAATCCCACAGAGAAAATGCGTCTTATCATCGCACCCGTCTTGTTCTCGATCATCGCTGTCTGCATGCAGACTGTAATATCTCCCGACAGGACAGCATCGAATTCAGTGACGGTCGGCTTTTCCCTGACCGTAGACCGTGCTGTTGTCTCTGTTCGTTACAGCAATCTCTTGATGGAAGATATAGTAGAGTTGAATGCATACGAAGAGTATGTGGAACTCATGCGAAACTTCTCTGATCCGTCGTCTGAACACCCAAGGTACGGCGAACACCATAAACACCTCTTTGAGCAGACACTCATGGTTCACCAGCCCCCCGTATCATTCTCTTAAGGACCTATTCGATGACTGGCCCCGACAAGAGAAGCGAACCGCGCGGAAAGAAAAGGGTCTCCCAGCATCACCAGAAGTAGCAATCATCGCGAAGGTCCTCGGGGAAGTTGTTGAGGTAGCCAAGACGTATGTTGACTTACCAATCTCGGCCCTGATTAGCTTTCCCGCACTGCCAGGCCTCTATCAGGAAGACATCAGGGACGCAGCGGACTATGTCGGCCTCGCGAAGTTGGGTCCGTGGCTAGAGGCATCACATCCACACGAGGACGTCGCCACATACGCAGGAAACGGTCTAGGTCTCTGTAAAGAGTACCACAACGAAGAGAAATGCCGTGAAGAGGGGAAAAATTTCACTTCTCGCCATACGCTACTGGTAGAGCACACTGAGTCCGCACTTCTTCTACACCATAACATCCTTCGCGAACCGATCGAGACATCATACCTATATATGGATCTTGCAACCTCTTTCGACTTAGGCAGTGCTCATGAGCCCGACGAACTGGACATACAAGATTTTGTCCTAAGTTTCTTGTACCACCAGTATTACTACCCGACGCCTCATCTTCCCGACTCAATTACTGTGATGATGACGGGTAGTCCCGAAAGTCTCAACGATGGGAAGGCTCGGAGGGTGACAAAGCGCGTCATCGAGGCACTCGGCGCAAAAGCTGAGATGTTAGAAGAGAACCCTAGCTTCAAAGCTGCAAGAGGCGCAGCTGAGCTGGCATGGCGAGCGGTGAAGTTCAGTGAAGGGATGCAATCGTGAGATTAGACACCGCTGGAAGAGCCGCTGCAGGCCTTCTTACCATTTCGCTCTCACTTGGATTGGGGTAGACTTCAATGAACTGTGCAATCGTATACACGTACTCATACGTTTAGGCATACATAAAATACATTGTTTTGGTGACCGTGTCAGTGCAGAGATGTGCCCACAACCGTGGTCCGAAAGAGCAACGTATGATCGCAATGCTGGCGGATTTCTATGAGACATTGTATGTGCTGCATGCAGCTGTATATAACACACCAATCATGGGCCTGATCGTGAGAGACCCGTCTAGCCACACAGTCTGCAGATTCTAGCGAGACAGGTGGTGGAAGCGAAATGACTTGGCAACATATCACGACTTTTGCATGTCTCATGTTGTAGGAAGCAGCAAGCTAGTGAGGGGCGAAAATTTAGCGGCGACGATCTTTGAAGTGAAGAATATTGTACGTGACGCTATGTAGGGGCTGACTTCCTACAGGCAGGCACCTAGGTCATGACGCTTTCAAGATCTATCAAAACTCGGAGTAGATGGAGATGTCAGCCAAGTTCGGCGGAAAATGGGGCTACGACTTGGGGCTATATTGTGGCACAGAAACCTGACTTTGTAATGCTTTCAATTGAAACATGGAACGTACCCAATCGTTTGCAGAAGGTACCATGTCCAAGACGTTGCCAACATATCGTGTCGCATGAGTATGGCGAGCATTCCACAACGGGCACGGAGGAAGTTCATCGCTCTTGTATGTTCTATTGGGGCCAATGACGTGAAACATGTTTGTCCAAATCGTATTTTACATAGTCTCTGGAATCTGAAACGGTGAAAGATCAAGATCTGTCGGTCCACCCAAGATCAATTGACTCATCAACTTCCCTGTGCCCGGTCCAAGTGTCAAGCCCCAAGAGCCATGCCCCCAGCACAAAAACACATTTCCACGTCTTTTCTCTGCATAAATGCCGTTATGATGCGAGAGCTTGTCGGGTTCAACCATGGCCATCATCGGGCGCCCCGAGCGCGTAACAGGTCGAAATGCCCGCCCAAGCGCAACGACCTCTAGCTCCCTGAACGCGTCCGGATCATCTGCGTTGTGAACGCGAAGAAAACGGTATGCGCGACCTGTGAGTTCCGCAATCATTGCAGCATCTGGTAGACCTCTCGAGCCTAATGAAGGTAGCGTGCCTGTGTGATCTTTTGCTCCGCAAACCCAGATCGTGCCGTCGTTGCGACCTGCGACTCCAACTTCTCTTCTACGATGTCTTTCAGGCCTACAAAAGCCACCGAGCTTTTCGCGACAGGATTCTGGTTTCGGAAGACGATCCAGTCGCCTGCCTCTGTGGCTGAGTCGATGCGGATCGAGGAGGAGGGGAACAATGTTTTGTAAACCGCTGGGGTCCATGGGCCTCCGGCTAGAACGAAGTTGTCGCATGGGATTTTGACTTTGGATGAGTCTTCTTGAACAACGGTTACTGCAGTGGCTCGGTTTCCTTCGTCCAATTCAACGGCAGTGACCTTTGTAGAGGTCTGAATGCGAACATCCATTTCAATACATGCTCTTTCAAGCCATCTGCCGAGGCCGACTGGATTACTGTCACGAATCTGATCAGCATAAGAAGGTGATGCATGCACAACATGCTTACACCATCGCGTTGTTTACACCCAAGAACTCGGTGTCCACCCCCCACACATCGCTCGTTCGAAGCCAATCCGGCAAACGGTCTTGATCATCTCCATCACCCTTGGTCAAACCAAGAATGGAATTGAAGCGGAGTCCAGCGGTGTCGCACAGCTCGTTGCTCTCTGCCAAATCACGCCAGGCTGCGAAGCTGTACTTTCCAAACTCGTCCATGATCTCGTCGTTGAATTTGTGGTGGATGCATCCTGTGCAGGTCCCGGATGTCTCTCCGAACGCACTCGCTGATGCTTCTATGGCGATGATGGTATTGCTGCTCGAGAGACTGGCTCGACGATTTGCGTGCGCGAGGTGGTAGGCAGTCCACAGGCCAATGGATCCCGCGCCTACGATGATGGTGGTCTTGTTTTCCGCGAACATATCATCAGCCTCGCTGAAGGTAGGCATGGGTGTTAAGATGATGCTCGATCTTTCAGGAATCTCTCCGCCTGTGGGGTCAAGGGCGGGGTCGATGAACTCTGCTGGCCCCTGGGTCTTGAAATCAATGCACGTGGGCTAACGATGGAAAGCTGAAAGGGCGACAAAGGTCGTTATTCAGGTCGAACATTTGGAATGAATGAGGAAATGGAGTCTTGAACATGCAGTGTGCATGGGTAAAGTAGTCGTTCGCTCGATAGCTCCAAAGGGGGTACTCTCAGCATATTCTTGTCGCCGGATCATGATTATAATCAAACGCCTTCAGCAGCGCCACCAAATGCAGCGCCGCACCCCCCACAGCACAAAGATGAAAGATCTGATGTGAGCAACCCCAGATATCGAAAAGGCCCGGGCGAAATCTCTCCGGGAAGCGGATCTGTGCAAATTGTCAGTAATGTTCACTCGAACCGAATGTGTTCCAGAAAGACTTACCGCATAGATAAACGCCCCCGTGATATAAAACAGTCCCTCAAAAATCATCAACCGCCACCCCATCTGCCTATCCGCCTGCTCCTTGCCAAACGCCTGAGCCGCATGCGTCATCGGCACCGCACCCGACCAGCCAATCGCACAAAACAGCGTTGCCCTCGCCCACCTCCATTTCGGCGTGCGGAACCGCGGTATCGAACAAAGCGTTGCCGCACCCGTGACAATCGAAGTAATCCCAGCCGAATACAACACCCAGTATTGTTTCTGGCAATAGAATCCATAATACGTCCCCGAATACACCGTGCCTACGATCAACACGAAGATGCCATATAGGTCCAATTGCAACCATATATGATATACTTTGCTCGAGTGGTTCCCAAACATGTGGAATGTAGCACTAACGCCGAAACACACGACCGCACTACCAACGAAAACCCCAAAAGCCAGTAAATCGTTTATATCAGCAGTTTCGTAACGGCTGCTAATATTGCTGTAAGCGTAGATAGCGTAGAAGAGGATGAAGACGGCGCCGATGAGATGCGTGTAAATATTTCCAGTCTGGTTGTGCAGATACGACAAGCTCTTCAGACATTCGCGGTAGGAATTGGTGGTGCAACGATAATGGTTCTTGAGGTACTCGTTGTCGCGTTGCCAAGGGTGGACTTCTTGGAAGGTGTAGAGTGTGCGGCTTGGCGGGGGCGCGGAGGCGGAGCGTTTGGTTGGGGTGTTTGTTGTGAGGGGGGTTAGGTAGGTTGTTGACATTTTGGCGGCGGGTTGAGGTGTCGTTGGAGGGTTTCCTTCCTGGAGTCCACCGGGTTGATTCAAGGAGATAGAAAGAAAGAAGACAAGAAAGGCGTAAATGAGGAACCGTCAACGAGGGCGATGCGCATCCTTGTACTCCAGTGTCCACCTCTTGCGTCTGCTCGCAATTAAAGCAAAGACCTCAGTCAACACCTGTCGTTCGGTCAAATCAAATAATCCACAAAGTCGCTATCGTGTGAAGTCCCCAAACAGAAACAGCGACTCCCACGGTACTTAAAGGGACACCTGTGGCTCGGGCCCATCCTGACCCCCTTGACAGGTACATAAGCCTTGTGGCAGTGCAACCGCACCGGGCGGAACGGCATAATGAACCACCAAGCGTCCCCTCAAAGGAGCAGGAGAGAACCTGGAACCGGGAAAGCGGGTACCTACGTAGCAGATAACACATGTGTGTGGGCTAGATCAAAAGGGGGTACACGTGGGAGATGCCGAGGCGCGTTTGATTGGTGGAGCCACGCGTCCCTGTCAGCACCGACAATGGCACAAGCCAGCAACTTCATTTCAGAAAAAGAACAAGCAAATGATAATTTCTCAACAGCGTGTTGTAAGACGATTTCAAGAACATTGAGGAATGAGTACATTCGTGCATAAGCATAGACATGACATTTTGTTGTAAAGGAGGGGTATATAACCAGAGTATCTCATCGCATCGCCTAGTGTCGTATATCGTATATCGTATCGTATCGCGTAGCATTCCGTAATATGTACTCGAACAAGAAGAAGAGGAGCAGGAGAGCGACGTTGCACTCTCAATCGGAGTGCCAGTCACTCGCCTGGCTCTCTCCAAACTCGCTCCTATAGCGCCTACACAACCAAAAAGTCAACACACCAGCACTCGAACAAGATAGAAACAGCGGAAACATAAAGAGCACTGGTGACAGCGAGACACAAAGCAAATCGCACTTACTCATCCCTTCCGCCCCCGTTTTCGCTGCTCTCGCCTTGCATGCCCAGTTTGCTTGCGTCCAATTTTGCTAGGCCGCTCTCGCCGAGTGTGTCTCCGCCCCAGCCTTCCTTCTTGCCCTCGATGAGCATCTTCATCATGTCCTTTAGTTCGCTGACTTCTTTCCTCAGCTGCCTGACTTCCAACACCGCAGTGTCGAACTCAACGTTAGGGCGCGAAGCCTGAACCTTCTTGTCCCAGCCGTCGGCTTCAAAGTCACAGCCATCAAGGACTTGTTCCCACTCCATGGTCGTGTCTTCGTCGTCTTCGCCGCGGCGGCGGTTGTCTCGGACGACCCAGGCTTCTTGTTGTTCGAACATGGCGGTGATGACGAGGAGAGGCGAGTAGATTACTGCCATGACCTATTTGGTGTCAGATTCTGTGCAACTAGATCGTTCTGGATATGGATTGTGAAAGAATACTGTAATCAGTACTAGGTGATAATTGTCTCATAGCCGAAGCTCTGAAGTAGCAAATACATAGAAATCATCATGTAAACAGCGGACACGAGGGCTTGCGCGAGAAATGAAGGACGTACCATGTCGTTGAGCTTGTCGTAGCGCTTCTCATCCATCCACCACTCGAATGGAAGAATCAAGAAGAACATCTCGATGAGGTTGAACGGAGCGATGAAGACGTTCTCGTCGGGAGCGCGAACGAACTGCATCGTCTTCTGCGAGAAGAGAGCCATGTACTCGTCGATAGCGTTCTGTGTGATGTCTTCGTAGGCCGAGTTGTAGAGAGCGATGAGGACGTTGAGCAGGATGACCATGACGACGAAGGTAAAGATATAGTAGAGAATGATACCGAAGGGAGGCTGTTATATGTTAGCTCGAGCTTGAGTTTAGTACAGTGGATGTGACATACCGAGAAATTGTCAAAGCCTTCAAACTCGGGAGATTGCATGACAGCGTTCAACATGGCTTGGAACACGAAGACAGTGTCGTTAGCAAGCTGGTCGTCCGCGATATCCAAACCGATGAAGGCCTGGAAGAAACCAATCATGACAACAAGGAGTAGCATGAAGAAGATGAGCGACTCGCGCATCATAACCTTGAGCACAACAAGCATGGCACCGAAGAAGCGGAAGGTGTCGAGGTACAGCAGGAGCCGCATCCAGAACATAGGCGCAGTGAAAGCCAAGAAGTCGTAGCTCATCTTGTTCAGGTACTCGCGTCGAGTGTCCTTCTCGTCACTGATGGGATGTCCAAGAGCCACCATGCGCAAGACGAAGCTGACGGTGAGAAGCGAGTACAGAGTGCTGTTGAACATGTTCCAGAAGGAGATGTAGAAGCGTCCGACCTTCCAGAACTTGTTCGCCTCGTCGCAGATGAAGCCCAGAGTGAATAGGTACAGCAGACCTTCGACAACATCCAGGTCACCAGAGGGATTGATGGTGTTGATAGCACCGGTGTAGAGGCCCAAGAAGATGATAGACACGGCAATCTGCACCCAGTTCTGGTACTTGGGGACGCGCATGCGATCGGGGTCGAGATGGGCCCAGTAGCTGGTGTTGGTCTTGTTCTCGTATGTGACGAAGCGGCTGGGGTCCTCGTCGTCCTGGACTACCCAACCGCGCCACAGGTAGTTGATGCACTTTTGGTAGCCGGATGATCCGATGACTGTTACGGCATGGAGGTCGACGGCCTTTTCAACGGCATTGGCGGGTGTGGTTGGCTCTCCATCGATCAGAGTCGAGTAGCGCTTGAGCAGAACCTCTTCAAATAGGTATGTGGTATCCTCTTCGGCCTCGATCAGGCGCTTGGCCATGATCTCTGCCGCCACGGCGCGGACTTCGTGGAGGTCGGCATCCCACAGCTCTGCGGTAGCTTGTTTCTTAAACCACTTCTTCACCTGCAACAGGCAGAAAACCACACAGGCATTGTGTTCAGGAGCTCCTGCTTGCTTGGCTGTCTCAAGCACCTTATCGGTGATGATGCTGCTATGCGCCTTGGTGATCTGCTCTTCTTCAAGCTCGCACGGTACGACTTGCTCGATCTGGTGCTTCAATCGCAGAGCGACTATGGTAACGTCTTTCGGATCGATAGGCGGAGGAGGAAGGTGTTCGCGACGCGACGTGGGAAGAACTGGGAGGTGTTAGTACTGGGATTGATAGGAACGATAAGAAGACGTACGCGCGCTCATCTCATCCTGCACTCTGTGTCGCCTATCGCCATCCCCACTGAATAGCTCGTTCCACCGCACCATGATTGCGGCGTTGCTGTAAGCGCTATGTCTCGTGCAGGTCTGTCAAGCTTCACGAGAGCTATGTCGAGCTCTGGAAGTGCCCAGCAGCGAAGTACCGAGGTAGCGTCAGGCTTGGAAAAGCAAAACTGCGCAACACAACAAGACGCACACTGAGCAGAGTATCTCAGCAAAGAAGGAGCTGCGGTGACAGCGCGACAACAAAGCAGCAGGACCCACGATAGACCGGGTTCTCGAGGCTAGTGTTGGCTAAAACCTGGCTGACAACGCTGGGCGCGCTCCACCAGTCCAGCCAGCGTCATCCCGCTCCACCCTGCGAATGGCCCAAGCTCTCTCCTGCTGCCGAATTAATCCCAAGCCGTTGCATCCGGGGATCACGATTGAGGCAGGGGACTTGGGTGCATATTCATTGTTGATTTGCTGTGGAATCCGCTTGTTCTAACACTCCCTCTATGCGCAAACGCATATATGCATGTGGCTGAAGACAAGGTGCTGTACATGTCGAGACGCCTTTGCATGCATGCTCGTGAACCACCATATCGACGCCTCAAACGCCCATGCCCACTTTTTG